ACAAAAACGCATGGTTGCTCCGGTAACCTACGCGTCCCTATTAATTTCATACTGAGTTCTCATTTTCTTCTTATTTCTCGTTTAGCCATTAATATAGCCATACACGTATGCACATTCGTACCCATACTTATGTACACGTATTTACAATTATATATCTACAGTTATAATGAGCAAGATCGACTAGCGTTCCATGCTGTTAAAAATCACGGGTTTTTAATTTCCTCATATAAAATTCAAAAGAACCGTTGCGCCAGAACAGCTCTCAACAATGACGCGCAAATAACTTAGATGGAAGCGTTATTAAAACTACAAACCAAATTTAGCTGAAAAAATTATGTATACAGTTGTTGGGCAATATTTCTGACATTTGCAAACCGCTCTCAGGAACACAGAGACCCACCATTTCACATGAATACTTTATACTATATGCGTTATTGTATTGCATATATGCAATAATTGGCCAACGCACCCACTGCTGGTGCGAAGATCCGTCTTTTGTAGAGTTCCCCACAGTTTTTGTCGCTATCGCCACCGATTTTTCCGGCAAATGCTTCCAGCTTAAGAAATTAAGGCTAGCCGCCAGGACTGTCAGAAAGATCGTTTAAAATTTCAGCTTTCTAGCTTTTCTAGTCCCCGAGTTACTAACCTACCCGCGAAGAACTTTCACAAGCTCGTACACAGGAACCACGCATACCCGGGACCTAGGTTTGAGCTCATTTATATGTACTTAGACGAGGAACATCCCCTTAAAATTTCAGTCTTCTAGCTTCTCAAGTTCCCGAATTAGCAGAACTTTGGCGGCCCCGTGCGTAGGTACCAAGCATACCTAGGGCGGGGTTTGAACTCAACACCTACTTGGAAGGGGAACATCATCTTAAAGTTCCATGGGCGGTAATGCCAGTCCTGATATTGCCAATCTCACACTGTCAGTCATGGAGTATCGGTTCTTTCGTAAGACGGGGATTCGTCTCCATCTATTTCGATATATCAAAGAAATCCTTATTAATTGCGCTAACTTTACTGAAATCGCCAGTATCATCTATGGTTCCAGTCTGCAACTCAACACCACTTGCTACAGACAAAGGATTTGTTTTTTAGACCTCGATATTTTGTGCCAAGTATTTTCAGCGTACCCAATAAGACCTTGGACCACCCATTCACTGTAAATCACGGAGGGTACCCCGGTACATCCATTTCAATATATACTTTGCTGCATATTTTTTAAAAATATGGACCAAACGGTGCAAGAGGGTGTTATTATATCGCAGCTAATTCGGTATGCACGTATATGCACTCTCCCACAGGGGTTCCATCACTGGCTAGACGATTTATAAGTATCTATAAACATAAAAAGTTTGATCTAGCTAAAACAGAACACTCCGTTCTCAGATTCTGCTTCAAGAACTGTCTGTGCTCAGCAAATTCATCTCTCCTGATGGTACAAAATTAAACGCTTGGTCCGCATGCTATTCTCATGAAAAGCATTTCCTCGAAATAGTTTCCCATAACTAGAGTTAACTCCCTTTTCTTCCACTCCTCTCTTACTCTATTTGGTCCTTCTCGGTTTTTTCTCCTCTCACATATCCGTCTTGCAAATTAGTTACATGGCCGTCCAGTACATGGCGAGTAGGAGGCTGTACTGATGGTTCCCACTCCTACCCGCATGATTAATTCGGTCTGTGTTTACAGCTAAGGGACGAAGCACAGAGTGCATCGTAAAATGTCTTCTTGTACATAATACCTAGGCCCAATCCTTTTTATGCTTTTTTTGCAGCTATGCAATGCAAAAACGCAAACTGTCGAGGGGTTGTCTGTGTGTGCGTCTGTAACGAGTTTTCATCTTGAGATCCGTATAAGCTACAAGGCTGAAATTTCGCAACTTAATCTACGCATACTTGCAGGCTCCTATCCTCAAAATGGACGCTCGGTTCCGCGTTGTTTTCACGTGTTCGTCCGCGTGGTTTCCACGTACGGGCACGTGAAAGTTTTTTTGGCGGGAAAGCGTTTTCGGGAATGGCCCATGCTAGGAGGCTGGAAC